AAATTAGATGCCCTTTCCTGCGTTTTGTCCTTAATACATCCATGATTCTTTCGATCCATGGTCTCAGGCAACATCAGTAGAGAACAAGAGCTTAGTACTGTATGCCTTTGAGTCTAAATGTGCACAGACAACACCATTTACTATCCAAATTACAATAAAGGTGCCCAGTTACTATCTCTACCTATTGCCCTTTAACCATTCTACAGGCATCTGCACTTTACTGCATACACATAAGCTACATACACATATATATCATGACATTTGTCTTGACCTTAGTGCCCAGTCAAGTGACCTTTGTGACCTCCACAAATGCATGAAATCGAAGGGCAAATGGCTTTGCTCCTCAAATTATGAAATTTGTGGCTGGGGCTTATGCTTCTTTAAAAAAAAAAAATTACTGTTCTGGTACTGTTTAAGCACCGGCGCCATTTTAAAATCTCACCAGTATCAGAAAAAACCCAAACGATACCCAACCTTAAACACTGACGCACGGCGTATCCAGGCATCTTTAAACATGCAAACACAAATGATTCATCAGTCAACACTTCCAGGAACGTTTACAAGATTTACAAATCTGTGGTCAGCCTTTTCCAGCTCAGCTCATGTTTTAGAAGTTCAAGTAATTTGTGATTTTAAGACATATACTCCCAGTTAGTTTACCTTGAAGCTAAACACAAAGTACTGTGGCTTGGAGCTACAGCAGAGCACTAAATCCTGTTTTTAAAAAGCCTCCAGATACTAGCTTAACATTACCTCCTCACCTTTCAGTGAGGATTGGCATAACATCCTTTTTTCAGACATCTACAAAGATACTGTGAATAGCATACACCATTACAAAGACATTCAAAATGTATGTTTATGATGCTCAGCAAAAGTGCAAAAATTTGTCATGGCTGACCTAATGACATTACAGTATTCTACCATAGGTCAGTGCAGGATAACTATATTTCTGACTTTTGCCTTATGAGGAAAAAGCAATGTGCAGCTCACAATATCCTAAAATTCTTTATGTGCCCCTGTTGTAATCATTTAGCCTATTCTGGATATTCTATTTAAAAACAAGGAAAGTTAAGAAATACAAATAGAACTCTAAATCCTAGAACTGCATTACTATATTGTATAGACACGTTTTTAAGGTACACCTGTACAATCTAGTGTAATCCAACAGAACACTGCTACAATACACTACAGTCATTTCTGAGACTGTGGTTAGTGGTAATGTTCTATTGTACTCCATTATAATGAAATGAGACTACTGTACACAAGAGAAGAAAGACCACATGATTCCACTCCCAAATGACTCAACAATGGTCTGGTATGACCAGCAGCTTGAACACCTTACACAGATGTTGCTATGTAGCCACCGTTACTGAGTCAGTTTGCTAACTTTTTAACTCTTCTCCACTTTTGCTACTATTAAAATACATTTTAAATAGTTATCATTATCCTGTAAATGTCACTTGTGGCCACATTAGCCAGAGGTTACGTAATTGGTGTACAATCAGGAAGAGGGAGTGAGTGTTAGAGACATCTCTGTCAGGGTTTTACGGGTTTAACCAGTAATATCAGTAATTCTGTACATGTTGTAGCTGTAACACAAACACTGTTACTACAAAAACAGCTCGCCGATGGATATCTCTCAAATGTTTATCCTAAAGCTACACTCTGCAATTTCATCATTAGACAAACTACACAAAAGGCAACACAGTTAAGTCTAGTGATTTAATTCAAGCTTCCATCTGACCTCAAGTAGGTAAAAACCATGTTGGTCTAGAAAAGCTTAGATTTGAGATTCACTACATATTAAGCAAAAGTAAACAACTGTCACTGTATTAGATTTAATGTGCTCCTGTCACAAGATCCATGTGGGACACTCAGTTGTATGGAGGAGGGTCAAGAGGTTTCATTCCCTCATTATCATCATCAGTGATGATCCTTATCAAGATGCTCCATCCCTTCTTTCAAGCCCATTTTTCAAATAAACACGGAAATGGATCATTGGTAATTTCTCACTACTCCGTTAAAACTCTGTTCCTATGTTTTTAGCAAAATCTCAACATCTACAAAATAATAACCCAGAGGCATAGCTGCTAAATGTCCATTTTAAGTTTGCTAAGATAGACAAAATGTATTTGCTTCACAGTCAAGGAGAAGGAAACATAGAGTATTTTAAAGACAATATGTTCTAGCTATCACAATACAGTGTACTACTAGTAGCATTTATTAAAATGGTCTTCAAAGGGTTTTATAACTGAATAGGTTTTAAGCAAACTGAAGATGGGTATTCACCTTGAATATGCCAACCCAATCCTTTGGATTTGGTGTGATGAACTGTGTCAGGGTATAGTGACACTCTAGTGCAGCATGTGGAAGGTAACTCTTCCCCACATTCTGAAAGATGACGTGGGCAAAGTTTGATGTGTCCATGTCGTTGCCTATTAAAGTCCTGTCCAGGAACAGTTCCATAGATCACTCAGCAGTGGCTACACAGGAACAGAGAAGCAACAAAAGAAATTATTAGAAAAGCAATAACACAGAAAATAAGGAAACCACCTTCTTCATCTAAAGTTTATTTATTGGGACAAAGTGTAAAAGAAAATTAACCTCATACAATGAGATGTCTTACACCAGAGTTAACTAATGTCCAGTCCAGGAAACACACAGGAACACATGGATTAACAGTAACATTGAGAATAAGTGAGGAGGCAAGGCAGTTCTACACAGGGATTTAAAGGTGAGATTCCTACAATTACTGAACAATACAGTAGTACACAACAAAACTGAGTCTATCCTGGTCAATATCACTAAAATATAAGGTACTTACAAATCCTGTCCATTTAATATGATTCTATAATCCTCAGTAGTGGAGACCACATTGATACTTGCACCATTTAAGTATCTCAGACTACATCTGTAATTCACTACATGAAGATAAATGGATGGTTTCATTTTGTAAAGAACAGCTCTTACTTCGATTAAAAAAAAAAAAAAACACAGTTTAAATGTATTTTTGTTTTATTGAACTTTTTCTCTGGAGTAGCAACACAATGTAGGCCAGACAACGTAGTCTTACATTTGACACTTTGGCACACTTTACACCTGATGCTACAAGACTTTAATTCATATTTGGATAACATCATATTTTTATTTCTAGTACTGTAAGTAGTGTTAACCTGGTTGGCCACTTTATATTCTGGAAAACTAATGTTTAATACTATCACTTCATTGTCGTCACTTCATTCACGATAAATTAGATGACAGAAGAGAATGACTCTCGATACAAATGACTTAAAGTCAACACTAATAACAAGGCCACGGGATTAAAGAGGATTTTCCATTTGGGCCTGGGCTGATGTCATTTTGCTTGACGTAATTAGCATTAGGCCTTTGACTTTTCAACGGATGATGATCGGAGGTTTTGAACAATATTGTCATTTATGACAAGTTCTCAATCTGTTGTATAATTTGGCAAATATCAACTAACGTGGCTGAAACCGATAAGTGTCAGCCACAAAGTACGAAGGGGGCCTAATATCAAAACTGTTATCACATCTGGCTAAGTTAGCTATGCAGCTAACTAGCTAGCTAACGAAAACCACAGAAGAAAGTACACGTTAACCACATGTCAAAAACACATCTGTTACTAAGAAATATAGTGTAAATCCCGCACAAAATAGTCACTTTAACTATGATAATCTGTAAAGTTACTAACGTTACAACGCCCTTAAAGAAAAGCGGAGCCGCTAATTATCAAATGGAGGACAAGGTTAGCTAACGTAAACAGAAACGGTGTCTCTCTCGACGTAGCCTCTAAAGCACATGTCAAGCAGAGGAAATGTCGATAACAGTGGTATATTGGGCTACATTTCCTAAATAAATCATAAACATACCCAGTTGCCATGTTGAACAGCAGCAGAAACAAGATGTATCTTCAAAACTATTGTTGACGCAGTTCAGTGCTTTCCCGTGCCCACTTCCTGGAATAAAAACAACACTGCGTCATTTCCGTAAAGGCCACCTACCTCGGAGCCCTACCCGTGTGGAAAACTATGGAATAATTTAAGTGTAGACATAAAAAATAGTAATAGAATTGACGAGTTTAAACATAAATATAAAGGTATGTGTCAATCAAAATATATGCAAGAACAGGCTCAATGATTAATTAGATGGAACATTGTGGGTGTGGTGTATGAATGTTAACACTTTGTAATAATTCTTTAGTATATTACTTGTGTGGTGTAGAAGAGAATTATTTAAGAATGTAATTATGTAGTCTGACTTCTTCCTACTCCATTCAAGCATGTACTAGGTATAAGCAAACTGATATTGGATTATGTGTAAAATTATGTGTGTTGACATATCAACTGTCTTTACATGCTTGAAAGAATTAATCAAATCAAAATCAAATCAATTTCACACTAATAATCTCAGACAGACATGCAATTTCACAAATAATTACACAAGCATATAAAAAACATCAATCCATGTTTTTTATTTAGGGTTGTGCCAGACATCAACAGACCATCTTTTGTTGTGAATCTATACTAATTTGCACTGAGTATCATGAATGTTATAGTGTAGCAATAATAGGCAGTAATATGCCTTGGGAGAAAAATCACGAGCTAATAAACATTTTAAGCACACTTTGTTTGACAATACTTTTACATAAACGAGATTTGAATGCAGAGATTTTATGAAGCATTACTCACCGACTGTGTGCTTTTACTATGGAAACGACCTGAATATTTCTCCTACCACTGTGGATAGGAGCTGCAAGCAGAACTTGTGAAAGACCTACTGGAAACACATAGAGCTTATTTTAGTAAGCTTTAGAGAGTCATATAAGTGCTGAAACATAAGAAGAAAATTATAAATATTCCCATTAGAAAAGAAATGACTGTTTTCCGATAAGAAATCTCTCTCGGGCCCTCCCCTCACAGTTCAGTGGCTGAAATTGGTTGCACAGTTCTCTTATTTGATTGGCCGGAAGAGCCGTCATTAAATTACGTGTTCTTACGTCACACGTAAGGTCGGGAGGAAAGAAGCATGGCCGCTGTACTGAGAGGGTCTCGGTTCCTGTTTGGGAGGTGTTGCAAGCATGTTGATTTTGTGTTTGGTAAGGAGACGGTGTACGCATATGCACGCCGCTTTGCTTACTGTCGGTGATACTTGGAGGCTCTGTGTGACAGTACAACATTACATTTGCCTGAAATGTTAGACGTTTGAGTTCATTTCGCCTGGACTAGGTTTCCTTGTTGATGCAGAGGTCATAGTTAACTATTATTACGGGTTGCTTTCTGTTTAAATGGGCTACAGTTATGTAACATTACACTGTAACAGATAACTTGTCTCGACTACAATATTTGGAAACGCTGAATTGTCATGATACCCTCTGTTCTGCTTTATCTTGTCTTTGTATTTAAGATATATTATGTGCTGTCAGTCATAATGCATGTTTAGACATGAGAGGTGGCTCTTTGTAACATAGGTTAGAGGGTTGGAGAAATCTAAACATATCCGTTTTAATCGAAATGTCCTTTATTTACCCTACTGTGCCCTTTCAGGTTGTATTTGTTAGGGTGGGTGAGCAAATAGTGCTGATATGTTCTCACAGAAGGTAAACCTCAGAATTAAAAGTCTTTTCACTGAGTCTTTTAACATTGAAATAAGCTTTCTTGTGTTTTTAAAGACTGGTCTTATCAAGGCACACTTAAGCAAACATGGAAAGGTTTTGGGATTCATTAGATTAGATGACTTTGGCACTTAATGTCTTTTACACTGGGGTTATACTGTATATTTAAATAAAATGTAAATAGCACTGTTGTTAGGAGATGGTATTCATTATTAGACTAAAATGTTCTGCCTATTTTTTTTTTTTTATTGTCAATTTAAACATAAGGTGTTTAAATTAAAACAAATTTGGCACAAAAATGTCGAATCATGAAAAGTGATTGAAGTGTTTTGTCCTGAATATGTGACAAGAATAAAGTGTCTTATCACATTGATCTATCTGGCTATTGTTGTAGTCTCTACAAGGTCCATGGCCTCTAAGACACAAGTGGGGTTTGTTGGTCTGGGAAATATGGGAAACCCAATGGCAAAGAACTTGCTGAAGCACGGATACCCAGTCATTGCTACAGACGTGTTCCCAGAGTCCTGCAAGGAAGTACAAGAGCTGGGTGCTCAGGTGGGCCAAGGAAATGTACAAGAAAATGTTTTTTTTTTGTTGTTGTTTTGTCTTTTTGTTTTTTTTTTGGGGGGGGGGGAACCAAATTCCCTCCAGTTTCTTCTCCTTTGACCCTGTGATTTTGTGTTTTCTCAGGTTGTGGATAATCCTGCGGAGGTAGCAGACAAAGCTGACCGAATTATCACCATGCTACCCTCTAGTCCCAATGTCATAGATGCTTACACTGGACCCAATGGCATTCTCAAGTACATTTTGGTTCCTCTTTTCTAACAGTCAGAATAACCTCATGAATTTGAATTATATTCAAAAACATGTACTTTTCTCAACAGAAAGGTAAAGAAAGGCTCACTCCTCATTGACTCCAGCACCATTGATCCAGCTGTCTCAAAAGAGATGGCTGCTGCTGCAGAGAAGATGGGGACGGTTTTTATGGATGCGCCTGTATCAGGAGGTAACTTTTACTTTTTTTCCCCCAAGATATAGGTTGTGTAACATTTACTACAATGTGCTGTCAAATCTTGGAATATATTAAATGAAGCGGTTTGTCTAATTTAGTTAGCCCTCAAATAAATAGCAAACACAGGGTTTCAGTCAACTGAATGCATCCTTTAATAAGCATACCATATCTGTTTAAATATGTGTTTATTAGTGTTAATCAGTAAATAGTCATTCCAGTATATCTACTTTACCTCCAGTTTTACACAAAATGCTGATTTCACAGTCTACCTTTTGACACTATGTTCTTCTGTAAACTACAGTATACTTCATGTATGTGTAAATGCAGGGACTGGACTTGTATTCACATGGCATTGGGCAACATATTAACTGTACTCACCAGCTACCTCATGTTATGTGAGGCTGAACTTTAAATACACAGAAGGACATATTTTTTCAGTGGTGGGAAGTCCACTGGTGCCACGTAGGCCTCTTTTTGCTGCAGTGCTGGGGGATGACGAAGAAGAGGAACAGCGTCGGCTTTCACAAATGTTCGAGCCGTAAAGTGTGTGGTGTCCGACTTTCTTGTGGGTCCACACAGAAACTTTGAACTTGGCCTCATCACGTCAATGACACCTACTTTCTTTAAATAGAATCTAATTAATTTTGTAGTCTGGGCCTGAAGATTAGTAATGATTTATTTGTCTCCATCCCATGGTAGTTCTTATGGAGTAAAGTTGTCCTGCTTCTGCCTTGAACTTGTGTGTGTGTGTGTGTGTGTGTGTGTGTGTGTGTGTGTGGCAGCATTTTAACTAATGCAGACTGAATTGTATGTCAGAGTTTTGACACATCACATCAATCACCAGGCTGCAGTTTCTCAATAAAATGTTTTGAACGTCTCCAGTGGTCAGGCAGAAATCAGAGAGTGGCATGTTAGTGACTGTTTAACACAGTGTAGTTAAAGTAGAGGTTGGTAATAACAGACACGGAGACTAGTGTGTGTTTTGAAGATAATGCACAAGTTCCCCAGGCAAGGGTTCAGTATGGGACATCTATCCAATACTATAAACAGTAGTTTGAAATATTTAAATGCTTGCACCAATATTTAAGCAACTTGAAGTGAAATGTATTTTCCATTTATACTGCATTGTGCCTCTTGTACAAGCCATTCATGATTACAACCTTTTTTCAGTGTTCTATAGATGACAGTGACATTTCCAGTCTCTTCCAGTTCAGTGGTGTATCTGAATCTCCTACAGGGCAACAATATCACATGTTGCAGTCCATCTGTTCTGGCAGAGCTACTGATCATATTATAAATTACAAGGGGCCTTTTACGTCATTTTGAGCATGAGCAGCAGTCTCTGCTTGGAGATGGAGAATCTTTGTTATTCTGTGCGTTTTGAACCCATGTCATTTCTCGGACAGACCACAGAAAACCCCACCTGTCAAATTCCAGTTAATACACACTGCTGCTGGCAGATTGCTGACAAGAGGGAAATGTGTTACACTCATTTTGGCTTCTTGCAGTTTACAGGAAGTCAACTTTAGGGCTAATTAAAAGACGATGTTGGTTATTTTCTTTGCCTCCATGTGGTGTGCACCTGGTTAATGTGCGTTACCAAGCTTTTAGCCCCATGTGAAACTGAAGGCACTCTAAAATATACCCAGAAACAGCTGTGCCTAAATCTTGTCGCTGACCAACCAAACACTTTTCAATAGTGTCCCGAGGCTTTGGAATGATATGTCCAGTGACAACAGACTGTGTAGGTTGTTCTGGAACGTCTTCTGAGACATACTTCCCCTGGCTTTTCATCACTTTATATGAAATAGCTTCTTATCCTATACTGTACATTACCTTCATTTTACGGTTGGATTTGGTTTTCCTAGCTTTTAAATGTTTTTATTTTTTATGTGGCATTTAACCTTTTTTTAATGTCCCTATTTTATTGCAGTGAAAATATTCTGGTTGTACTGCATCTCTATGTTCCAGTGAAAGACTTGCAAGTCACTGGAATAAAGGGTAGTCAGGAAGGTAAACACTTGCCTTCTCAGCATGTTGGAGAGGTTTCATGCTGTTTGGGAGCTCTACTGTGATCCTCGGTGTAAAGTGCCAAAGGGGCCAAAGCTTTTCTCTGTTACTGCGTAAAAATAACACG